ATGAAGGTGATGAACTAGAGAATCCATATATAAATGAATATGTATGTATACATGTATATTAATGGCATCAGCTGGTTCTTTCTTATCTGTATGCTCCATTCTTTGGTTTAGTCAACACACAATTTTCTCTAGTTTCGTTAAACATAGAGAAAATTGTGAGCAAATCAGAGAAAATTGGTCAAAATACAAAGAAATTTGTGAGTAAATCAGAGAAATTTCAAAACACATAAAAATTGAAAACATAGAAAAAATCAGAGAAATTGAATAAATTAGATAAATTTCAAACCAGAGAAATTTCAAAACATAGAAATTTGGATTGAAATTTCTCTGGAAAAATGTTAAGGGACCTCGACTATTATGAAAATATTCCATGTCCTTTATCTTTTAAAATCTTAATATCAGGGACCTTAAAAAAAGTTTCCCTTTCATTAACCACAAAATATTTTCTCGTTACCTTTCGTTTTTCGTTTTTCCTTATACCAATAACTAGAAAATGCAGAAAAATATTTGCCCAAACAAAAACGATAGTTTATAGGAGGAGTTACGAGCCGGTGACTTAATTCCTATGAGGTCCTGACTCAAAAAGATTTAGTACATTTTTCGATTTTACCCTTGACATTTAGTCCAAACAAAGAAATCACTAAACCGTTCTACTCTCTCTCTCTGTCACAACTGCTCGAATCTCTCTCTCTTAACCGGTCATCGAAGACCACTTCTGACTACCGACAACCATCATCGACCTCCAATGGCCTTCATCATTGACTGCCGGCAACCATTACTGACCTCCACCAACTACCTCCGAACTTTGACAATATTTTTTTGTGTGGCCATTTTCCATTTCCACCATGTCAATATTGCTAGTACCTCCTCAAACAAGGTGGCAACAAGAGAAAAATAGAAGAATAAGGATGAAGAAAATGAAGGAGAGAGATGAGGAATCCTTACTAGAAAATATTGCTTCACATTTGTAGACTAACACAAAGAATCAAAGACAAATCTAGTACAAAAAATTATGATTGACACATTAAGTGATAAATTCAACAACTATCTGCTTGTTAAAAATTACAAAATCTTATCATCATCGCCACAAATCAACACAAGATTCAAAGACATATTCAATGATAAATTTCTCACTGACTGTTTGTTAAAAAATTACAAAAAGAAAATCTTATCATCATCGTAACAAATTAACACAAGATTCAAAGACATATATCAGTGATAAATTTATCATTGGTATATTAAACCCTTATTTGCAACAGATTTGGTTTGAAAGAAATAAAGAGAGAGGGAAGGGGAGAGAGAGATGCGAGATTTGGAGAATCAATGTTGCTTGTAGTCATTTGAAGTCAATTTCACAGTAGAAACAACTAGATCAATGTAGATCTAGAACGAAGTATAGATCGGTGACGGCATAGTGTAAATCGGTGATGGCAAAGGTGGTTAGTAAACAGTGGCAGTGAATCGGAGCTGGTGAAGTATAGATCGACGACGGTGGAGATAGTTAGTGAACGATGGTGGTGGCAGTGGCCGGCGAAGGTGGTGGTGGTGGTTAGTGATAAACGACAGTGATGATGGTGGTGGGTGGATGGCCATGGCCATGACAACAGTGGCGGTATTTTCTAGAGAGGGTGGATGGCCATGGGCGTGACAACGGTGGTGGTATTTTCTAGAGAGAGAGAGAGAGAGAATAAGAAGAAGAAGGGTTTGGAAAAAAATGATTAAGAGAGAGAAGTTAATAAAAATTGAGAAAATTAATGAATAATAAATTCAATGAGGGTATTATAGGCAACTAAGGACTTAATAGTACATAAAAATATAAGTCAGAACCTAATAGGTAATAAGGCTAGAAATGAAGACTAGCTGGTAAATTACCCAATTCTTTGTTATGTAATACCTACTCGACTCAAACCCGATCCAAAATTTGTCCAGTTGATATATCCCGTCCCAATGTCGCAGTTCAAACATGGCGTAGTTTTCAATTTTGAATTTAAAAATCCAAAAATACAAGTGGATCTCTCACTCCCAAATTATTGATTGGGGTGCTCCTAATTTTAATTGTGTAGCCCACCCATCTTTCTTGTACACGTTTGATTCATTACTAATTATGGGGAGGTGGATTTCGGATACTTCTTTGTCCAAGTAGATTCTAAAGTAGTCCTTTGATAATCACCTGAAAAAGAAGAACAATTCTAGTCGAGGGTGCCGGAATTAGCACTCCGACGATCTAATTAGTTTCTCTCAAAAGTATGTTGTTTGTTCTTTTTTATAAGTAAATTATTTAGACCATAACTCCTTCTTGAGTCCTCTTCTCCTTTTTATAGAGTTTCTCCTCGGATTTTTATTTTCTACTATGCATCCCCTGTTAGGGCCCATTCCTTCATTGCACTTTATGGAGTAGAATCTGAACTACTCGGCTCGACTATCACGAACTGAGGCTCGTTATTCGGTGATAGCTCTATCCAATTTTACTCGGCTCTGACTTAGCCTAGTAGGTCTGCCTAATGGGCCGACCTCAAATTGGGCCCAATTGTGTTGGACTATGTTACCGGAACCCATGCACATCTTTGGGCCACTATAAACTTGGCTTCCACACTAATCAATATTGATTTTCAGTTTTTTATTTTTATTTTTTATGTAGATTTTCAATTTATTATTATTATTATTATTATTTCTCTTATATCACATGCTCCAACCATACTGGATTAAGGTTCAAATTTTGAAAGTTCAAGTGGGCTGAGGGTCTCTTCAAAAATGGCACAACTGGCTCAATCTCTAATTCTAAACTAGTTTTCTTGAGTTTTGAGCTTAAATTTATCTTAAAAGGTTAACATGAGGTTTTAAATTCAACACAATTTTTGTTTCAAGTTGACCATTGAGTAATGCTAACTAATGTATTTTACATTTTAAAAATAGAAGGAAAAAAAAAAATTCAAAAAATTATAAACAAAAAACATAATAAGAAAATTGACTTCAGTTATGTGCATTAGCAGTAAAATCATTATGTTCAAATATGAATTAAAGCATGATTCAACAGATACAAAATATGAATTATGTTCAAGTATGCATTTATAAGAGCTTTTTGGTTCAAGTCCAAATCAAACTTGAAATTATACAATTGAGATGCTAAAATATTAATGATTAAACTCAAGTTGCTTAAGTTGGGATGCTTGAATCAATGTTTTCAAATTTAAATCATTAAAAAATTAAAAAACGAATTAGGTTAAGGGTAACTGATCAAATCATTCTGTCAACTAAAATCAAACTGTAATATCATAAACATATTGTTCGGTTCTTGAACCGCTTAACTACTTTAATTAAGATCATAATTCATTTTAATAAACCTTTTCTCCTATTTTTTTCTTCTAAAAATTCAGTTTTTCAATGTATCTTATTCGAGCACCTAAATTTTTTAATTTATAACGTTCCATTTCTTCGCATACTTTTTTCATATATACACTGTAAAGTGATATATATATATATATATTTTTTTCTTTTTGGTTGTTGGACCACATTCAAGCTCACAAAATTTATCAATAAACCAAAGTGAGTTTTAGAAAGATTTTTTTTAGCGACACATAGGTCATATTTTATGCACTTTTACTCCATTAAGTTATAATTAAGATTTTTCAAACCTTCAAGTTTCATTGTCATATTTTATGAACTTATACTCCATTAAGTTATAATTAATAATTGAAATTGTCTTTCAAATAATGATTGTTCTTCATTTATGATTATATATAAAGGAATATGATGATTTGATATTTATTTTGATTTTTAAAACTTTAAAATATTAACTTTCGAATTGAAAAAATTAAAAATAATTATGTGCAAAAAAAAAATTTAAAAATTAAAAAATTGAAAAAACTGAATTTGTGCAAAATTGAAAATTTTGTGTCTATAAAGGAGCATGACGATGGAATATTAATGTGCAAAATTTAAAAAAAAAACTTTAAAAATAAAAAAATTGATAATGTTCTCCGTTTTTAAACTAAAAAAAATTGATAATCTTAAAAAAACTTTAAAAATAAAAAAATTGATAATGTTCTCCGTTTTTAAACTAAAAAAAATTGATAATCTTCTCGATTTTATTGGATAGTTGAATTAAATCAATAAGTAGAAAGACAAATATGTTTAATTTCATGTTCTTTTTTTTTATCAGTTAGTGAAACAATTATTTGAAACATTATTATACAAAATTGATAATACTCTTAGTTTTAAAAATTAGAAAAAAAAATTGATAATATTATTAATTTTACTATATAGAATTTATTGATTCAAAAAATTATAGATTAGACTTAAACTACCATAACATAATATTTGTAAATAAAATTTTTAAGGTAATTAATTATTTTTTTATTACACCCTAATTTCAAAACAAGGGTGCCCAGATTAGTGTACAGTTAAAAGTCAAGTCTTCGTCAACGTGAAAGTTGGTTAAAAATTCACATTTTAATTTTTTTAACTTTTTTTTTTTTATAAAAAAAACGTATAAAAAATAAAAAAATAATATAACTTAAAATAAATTAATAATCAAAAATTAACTTTTAGTCAGGTTCTAAATTAGCCTAACATAAACGACAAAATTTGAAATCAAAACAGACCAATCAGACAGGGAATCTTTATGAACAGCTACGACCCTGCAACTACCTTTGTCCCCCCTACCCACACCTATGCAAAATCTCTGTAAAAATAGGTCAGCAAATAAATAAATAAAAATAAAAAAGTGGGAAAAAAAAATAAAAGATAAAAAATGGCCCATCAAACTCAGATCTCCAAACCCAATAGATATTAATCTGTGTCTTCACCTCACATGCACACCATTTGGCCATGCCTCACTCAACCCAGAACAGAAGAGAGAGAAAGAAAGACAGAGAACCTCCTCACTGGTTGCTTTCATGGCCATCACAAATCACATGTCTGTCTATGGGGTTTTGGTTCTGTGGTAAGTCCAAAGCTCTGTCTCTCTTCTTGGTCTAGCCCCTTTCATCACATGCAATGATGTTTCATTGTCCTTTTGTTGTTCCTTCATTTTTAACTCTACCTATTTTGTGTCTCCTAGTTTTGAGGTTTTCTGATAATTATAAAACATGGGTTTTTTGTTATTTGTTCTGTATTGGATTCACCATTGACTTTTTCTAGATCTTCATTGTTGTTGTTCCTTGATCAAAAGCACACAACTTTGTCCCAAATGCTATTTTGTCTGATGATTTTGTGTCTTTGCAAATTCAGGCTTTAATGAAGAGAACCTATGAAAGAATTTAGTGAAACTGTGACTAGTTTGATAAAATTTTGAAAACTAAGATAAAAAATTTCCTGCTGCATTGTGGGGAAGATGTTGTGTACTTGCTCCGGCGAGCAATTTAAGTTGGAAGAGCCGGTGCCGCAGTCACCGGAGTCACTGGCGACACGGGATTTCTCAGCCGGTGGCCTTTCATCGAGGACCGCAGACTGGGAATCGAAATTTGAAGATGCCCAAGTGGATGAAGCTGAGTCCACCCTGAAGGAGGCTCTTTCCTTGAATTATGAGGTGGGCTTGTTTAACTTTTGTTTTGGTGAAAAATTAAATTACAAGTTTTTCTATATTTGATTGGAACCTTAAAACAGTACTGTTGCTAATTAGTTCAGTTTCTTTTTTCTGGTTTTTATGCTATTGAAGTTCGGTTTGAATTTGTTTGTGTGGGTTGCAGGAAGCTAGGGCATTGTTGGGGAGACTTGAATATCAAAGAGGGAATTTTGATGCAGCCCTGCAAGTGTATCAGGGGATTGACATTAAAACTTTGTCACCTAGGATGATTAAAGGTATCATGGAGAGAACCCGACGGCAAAAACCACGTTCCAAAGGCGAAAACATGCTTACCGGCGTAATGTCACTGCATTCTGTCAGCCTACTACTTGAAGCAATCTTTCTCAAAACAAGATCATTGGAGGAGCTCTGCCGATTTAAAGGTATGTATATCCATTCTCCCTCTTATGATAACTTGTTTTGTGTGCATTGGGATGAATAGATGTAAATTGTTGTATATGGTTTCAAATTATTTCTTTGGGTAGACTGTTCAGACAATTCTCACATTTTTTTTTTAAAAAAAAATTTAAATTTATAGAGGCTGCAAGGGAGTGCAAAACAATTTTGGATATAGTAGAATCAGCACTACCTAATGGAATGCCTCAGGGCATTGGTGAAGACTGTAAGTTACAGGAAATGTTCCACAAAGCGCTCGAATTGCTCCCAAAATTGTGGATACAGGCTGGTTTTCTTGATGAAGCTATCGCTGCATATCGTTGCGCTTCAATCAAGCCAAGGAATTTGGATCCCCAACGGTTGGCTAATTTACAAAAAGACTTAGCCGCCACATTGCTCTATGGAGGCGTTGAATCAAGCCTCCCCTCTCAGTTACAACTATGGGGTCTAAATACCCCTAAAAGCAACACAGAGGAAGCAATACTATTGTTGTTTATACTTATGAATAAGGTTTTGTATGGTGAAATACAATGGGATGATGAAATTATGGATCATCTGACTTTTGCCCTCTCCGTGTGTGGCCAATTTGAGTCTCTAGCCGAGCACGTGGAGCAAGCTCTTCCAGGAACCTACAACCGAGCTGAGAGATGGTACTTTCTTGCTCTTTGCTACAACGCTGCAGGTCAAGATGAAACTGCACTGGATCTTATAGAAAAGGTCTCAGGATCTTCAGAAGCCAAGCATAAGCCCCATTTCGCTTCGTTTCTGCTTGGGGCGAAATTGTGTTCCCAAAACCCAATCCATGCTCATGAGGGGATTAAGTTTGCTCGTCGAGTGATTGATTTAGGAACTCATGGGAATGAGCATTTTGCGGGTCAGGCTCACAAATTTCTTGGTGTTTGTTACGGGAACGCAGCGCTAATTTCCATTTCAGATTCTGAAAGAATTTGCTTTCGTAGAGAGTCTTTGAATTCGCTAAACTATGCTGCTAAAAATGGTAGGGAGGACCCAGAGTTGATGTTTAGTCTTGGGCTAGAGAATGCGGTGCAGAGGAATTTGAGCGCAGCATTTGATGATGTCATGATGTACTCGGGAATGCTAGCTGGAAGCTCGGGAAAGGGTTGGAAGCTTTTAGCTCTGATAGTATCAGCACAGCAAAGACTTGAAGACGCTGAATCTATAGTTGATCTTGCTTTGGACGAGACTGGAAGGATCGACCAGTTTGATCTTCTTAGATTAAAAGCCGTTCTTCAAATAGCTCAAGAACAACCCAAGCAAGCAATAGAGACATACAGAGTTTTGCTAGCTCTTATTCAATCACATAGACAACAAAGTACAAACTTTGGCTCCAAGGTTAGTATAATCATGAATTGTCTGTTCAACATTGTCCTCACACATTTCAATGATTTCATAGGCTTATAATAAAAAAGATTATGTTCAGGAAAGAAGATTAGAAATGGAAGCTTGGCAAGATCTGGGAAAGATCTATACGAAGCTCGAGTCATGGTTTGATGCAGAAATTTGTCTAGGCAAAGCCAGGTCGATTGAATTTTACTCTGCTAGTAATTGGCATACAACAGGTTGGAATGCAGTTCCAATTCAATTGAATTTTTAAGCACACAATGTACAATCCGTATGATTCTTTGAACATATTGTGCAGGTACGTTGTTTGAAGCACGAGCGTTGTACAAGGAAGCCCTCGTTGCATTCTCAATTGCATTGTCTGTAGAACCTGATTTTGTCCCAACTATTGTTTCAACTGCTGTAGTTTTGATGAAAATGGGCGGTCAATCGCTCCCCATTGCAAGAAGTTTTTTGATGAATGCTTTGAGGTTAGAACCCACGAACCATGATGCTTGGTGGAACCTCGGGTTGGTTGCTAAGATGGAAGGCTCAGTGCATCAAGCAACGGAGTTTTTCCAAGCTGCGCATGAGCTCAAGATGTCAGCTCCTGTTCAAAGCTTTGTTTAACTGAGTTTGTTACATCTATTGAAGATCAATGAGGTTTATTTGATGTTTGGAAGTCTAATGCCAAAGGGGTTGAAGAGATTGATTGGTTCACCAGAAAAAATGTGTATGGAGAGTATGCTCAGTTTCATTTTCGTGGTTATAATTCCTGTGACTGATTTTAGAGTAACCACTGTTTCTCTTCAGCTCTGAAATCCTGTAAACAATTTGTATATTCATTTGTCAAAATGACATTTTTTTAGAACTTTCTGTTCATATATGGAGCTGTTTTAACCATCAAGTGCCTACTATAATTAGTAGCTGTTTTTATAAGAGCACCATAATTGTAAGCAATTCATTAATATGAAGAAAAAAAAAAATTGATTGGAGAATGAGAAACCATTCTTATATATTGCAAAAAATTAAAGGCACTAGTGGCTAAATGAGTAAGAATTTTATTCCATCTATGAAATGGAGGTGATCTAAAATAGATCTGTGATTGTTCTCACATATAGGCCTGTGCTCAATGAAATTACAAGACAATTTTTATTGCAAAATTCATAAACTATAAATTTAAAGGTATCTAAATTTAAAATTTATGCATATATATTTAAAATTTTGGAATAATTAGTAGGGAAGCTTGAGATAAATTGACAGCAATTTTCAACTTCAAAAGAGTTCTTATATTTATCTTTTTAAAAAAGGAAACAAGAGAAAAACTTAATTTTTTTCACAAATAGAACAAAGAAAGAGAATGAGTAGATATTTTTTAAATTGACATGATTTAAACATTTAGGGTATGCTCAAATCAAAATTTTAAATTTAACAAATCCAATTTCTTGTCTAATAGTAGTCATAATTTTTTAAACAAATTTCAGATGCAATTTACTAAAAATAATCTTTTAAAGTGATAATGCACTTTTTAACCAAATTTCAAGTGCTTATTTATTTTATTTTATTTTTTTAAATTCTACAAAAAAAAATAAAAAATAATAAAAACTTGATTTGTCTCCGTGAACGCAAAACAAGCTCAGAGAGAACTCACAGTGCCGAATAGAGAGCGCCAATTTAGTTAGAAACAGAAGAGGAAGAAGGGGGATGACCAATCCACCGTCGTCGGAGACTCTCCGGCCGACCGAAACCCTAGAAATCGAGAACGGCCTCTCTCTAGTCCCCCGCGTGAAGCTCCTCCTCACCATCCACCGCGCAGACCACTCCGTCAAGCCCCTCGACGAGTGGCAACTCAAGCGCTCCCTCACCGACTTCCTCAAATCCTCCTTCTCCCTCACCGTTCCCGAAGACGACATCGTCGTTCGCCGATTCAAGGACCTCAAGAAGCGCAAGCGCGATGATCCTGTCGCTCACGGCGCTCTCTTCATTCGCGACCTAGGGTTTCTATCCAAGCTTTCCAGATCGGAAATTCTTCATGGTATAGATGGAGAAGACGATGTTAAGGAACTCGAGAAGAAGTTTCTGGGCTGGAGGAGATCGGTTGTTGATAAGACCGACGGGATTGAGTTGAGTCTTGAAGGTGTTAAGTTTAGATTGACTGCTTCAGTTCCGGAATCGGATGATTTTGATGGAATGACGAAAGAGTGGGAAGAGCTTAATGCGTTTGGTAATCGAGGTTGGTTCTTGATTCTATCCATAGTTTTGAATTTTTGATGCTTACTTGTCTTGCTGTCTACAATAATGGATTCAGTAATCTAACTCAATATTTTTTCTTCTAAATGCTTAATAATTTTGTGCGAACTACCGGTAATAATGGATGTATGTATGTGTTGTTTGGTTGTAGGATATTCAAGAGGTGGGAGGCAGCAGCAGCCTGATACAATTGTGTTGAAAGGTGTTCCATCGCGCTGGTTTGCTGAGCCGAGAGTTTCGTCTAAGCCTTCAATGCTGGTCACTCACACGATTTTTTCTGCATTTGGGAAGATAAGGTGTGTGTTAATGTCATGGTTTCTGCTATTGTTCTGTTTCCCTGATGCATTGCAATTCCATAATATTGTTCTTGTTGAATTTGTGGGGTGGTTGTGTTTTTTGAGGCTTCTGACATTAAGTTCTGTTTTTATGCTCCAATGCACACATCATATTATCTTGAATATGGTTGTATTGAAATTTCTTAATTTACTTGTCATCTCATTAATTTGATGAAACCATTTCCTCTTGAAACTTCTCATGATTGAAGATTTTAGATAGCAGCAAATATTTGTGGCTATTTGATAAAGCTGAAAATTCTTGTGCAGGTTAGTCACATTGATTTAAGTTTGCTCAAATCATATTTGAGCACAATTTTATTCGATTAGATTTAGTTTAAAAACTACCAACTACTTGGCTTGTCCAGTGATACGAGAACTCTACTTTTTCCAGCTAAAATTTCATTTGTCTTTCCTAACAGCAATTATTTTTTGAGTGGTGTATAATTGTGCATTATAAGATGCCCTTAACAGAGAAGACAAACCCTAGAACTTTGAATACCCCCACAACCCCTCTTGGCGGGGTCAAAGGACCAATGTTCTATATAGATTCTATAGTCCTTCTTCAACCATAGTTTTATCCCTGCAATTCTTATATTAGTGGTTAAATGTGATGTTGGTTTATTTCTTCATCCTAGCAGAAAACTTATCTTTTTCTCTGTCGCTGAAAAAGTCCACCAAATAACACAGTCCCTCTTTGTTTATTTCATTTTTTTTTAGCAGAAAATATGAAAAGTTTTGACAAATGATGTTGAAGATACATCACATACATCATATATATAGTTTTCTCCATACTTGAGCATCGGAAGATAAACCCTTTTCTTGAGAGTTTTTTGAGTTTTTCTGATAGTGTTAGTAAAAAATCTGTTAAGGCCGACAGGAACTTAACAGTAATTTTCAACAAACAACCAAGCAACTGTGTAAAGGTTCAATGCCTTGAAGGGTTCAAGGGCTTCTTTGGAACAATTAACATTAGAAAGGAAGGAATAAACAAAGGAACCTTCTTATTGAAGTCTCCAAAGTCTACAAGTTTAGTAACCAAAATTACACTGATAAAACTACTCCTAATTTGAGAGAAACTACTCCTATCTAAGATAAGACTAAGCTAAAAATGCGAAGTAGTGTTGTTGTTGAAGGTCCTCTCTGCAAACTTCCCAGCATTTATACCTCTCCTCCTTTCTCTGGCCCATGATCCCATGTTCCTTGGAATTCGCAAGCCATCTTCCTTCAACTGCTCTAAACTGCCTTGACCTCTTTGAACTCTCATATTTCCACTGCATCTTTCTTCTAAAGCAAGACTAAGGCCTCCATCTACATTGCCATGTGTCCTCCTTCAATTGTTGAGCCACATCGACAGACCATATTGCCACTCACAAGCCCAAATGCCTCCTGGAAATTGGCCCACTACTTTTCTTACTGCTTGTAACTACTCCACTCCCATGCCATACCTCCAACACATTGCTTTACTTTGATCCAGAAAGTCAAACCCTCTTTGACCTTTCTGCCACGTGTCACAGATCAGCTCTTCACTCCCTGTTGACAAACAACTTAACGAAAATGGGTGCAAACAGATAGTGTGGATACTTTTGTATCTTGATTATAGAATCTTTGCTATATACCATGTGTACTTGGTTGAACTATTTATATATATAATAAAGCAGGAAGGTTTTTGAAAATGTGTCAAAATATTTTAGAGATACATTTTATTTCAATGGTTGAGATTAATTTCCGAATTCATTCAGGGTCAAGATTTCTTTAATTCTCACTCACCCACCTTCTTTTCCCCCCTTTTTGTTCACTCATGCAATCTCTCTCTCTCTCTCCTGCCCACCTTCCTTCCTCTTTCCTTTTTATTTATTTATTTATTTTCCTTTCTTTTTTTTTTTTTTTCTTTTTTTTTGACATTTTGGCAAAACTGATTAAATAAGTTTTTTTTTTTTCTCTCCTTTTTGCTCACTTATACGGGCATGCACTAGTATATATATAAAATACATTTGTATATATATTTATTCATGATACTTGTTAGAAAATTCCTTCAAACTATCCTTCAACTTTGACATTTTCCCCTTTGTTTTCTATTATTGTTGTTGTTGACTGCTTCTTGTTATTGTTACAAATAATGGAGTTGTCCAGAACTTTAGCTCACCATGTAGTTAAATGGCGCAATTCTTTACAATGAATTGAAGGGATAAACAGAAAACTACAAAAAAACAACAAAGAAAAAGGTAGTTAGGAGGATGCCATCTTTGTTAAACTTCAACTCTTAGTATGGAATGTTGTGGTCATATATTGCATAAGAGGCCTAGGTAAGTAATATTTTTTAGATTTGAAATCTTAAATTGTTGCACAATATTTGACAAAGTGGTTAATATATTGAACTTAACATTATTTATACAATATCTATATTGAACTTAACGTTTTTTTTTTTATCAATTCAATGATATTGATATTGTCAATTTTGACATGTTAGACAATGCAACTTGGAGGGGTGAGGTGTATACTGCTGAAAAGTCATATTGATCCCCCCCAATGACTTGAACCTCTTGACTTTACATGTGTAAACTAATTAGAACAACCCTTAGTCAACGACATTTGTTTTGAAACATTTGTGTACATGATTAATTCACACATTTTATTATGTTTACATTCTAGTGCACCTGTACAGAGATGCATGAACATTTTGAACGCACATCAGATTGTAATGTAGTTCTTAAAATTGCTGTCCTTATCATAAGCGTGACCTCTCCAAAAGCAAATTTAAGAAAGAGAAAAAAGAAGGGAAAAAAAAAAAACGAAGAAAAGGAGAATATAGTAAGAAAAGAAACCAAACCCAGAATGCTTGTATATATGGACAGTTTTTTTAATTATTAAACAATATTTCTTGTGAAGTCTCCACAAAATAAATGCAGAGAATTCATCTCAATTTTCTTTTTGTGTGTGCATGTATGTAAAGACAGAAAGAGTGGCTAGGTTTACAGTCAATTACAAGTTTGCCTTTTGTTTGTTACAACTAATATCCTGCCCCATTGCTACAATCTGATCATCTTTTATCATCATTGACGTGGGTGGGTACATTGATAACCTAATTGCAAATCGTTCTTCTTGTTTCTCCCTTAATTTACTCTTTATAGGAATCTTAATGTTGCTGAGAACGATGACCTAGGTAAGAACGCGGATGAAGATAGCGGGGACATTGTTTCAGGTCTCCAGTGTAAGATTGTTGTTCAGTTTGAGAAATACAAGGACTTCTGTACTGCCTTGAAAGTTCTCTGTGGCCGCTCATTGCAAAAGGTCTGGTTTCCTCATTTTTTTGTTCTAAGTTGTTTTATTCATGAGAGTGCTATAGATTTTGATCAGAAATCCTGCGTCTCTCTGTCTGGGCATTGGGCATGTGTATGGTGGGTGTTACACCATATTTTGACCCAACTAAAGCAATTTTTCATTGCAAAAATAATCAGAATCCAGATATTGAAACATTGTGCTTGAAGATTTTCTCCAGGAACTTGCATAATTTCTTTCATTTCAGTGACTGGAAGGAATGAGATAATCCCAAATTAATTTACTCTATGAAACTTGTACCTAGGACTAGTTTGTCTTTTGCTTTACTACAAGAACAATAAGATATTTATGATAGTCTGATTTAGGATTTTTTTCCTTTGTGTCAATAGCTGAAATTTTATTTGAACATTTTGCGACGAATGATGTCTTTGCTTCCCCATACTGGTTATTCTCTAAAACTCTTAATCTGTACTGTTAATCTGGTCATTGTGCTCTCATGTGACCCATTTTGTTTGGAACACGAGGCTTTTCTTTGTTGAAAAGTTGATATCCCATGATCAATAAGAATGCATTTTTAATGAGCAATATTTTTGCTATGCTGGTTTATGCATATAAACTGGCAAATTAGTTACATTTTAATGAGCAGCCTTCTGGGGTAGCTAGGGCAAAAAATGTATCACAAATATATTCTTCATTAACATGTCTTCAATGACTAATTTTGTAATCATTTTCTTTTTGTTTGGTTTATTTTATTTTATTTTTTGATTGACAATACATTTGGATCCCAATATGCACAGCAAGGATCACGATTGAAAGCTGATTATGAGGTGACTTGGGACAAGGATGGCTTCTTTCGATATGCTAGGAATGAAACACAAGAAAAGAGTAGCTGGATGCCACCATTGGATGTAGGAAATTATAGAAGTGAAGCTCCCAGACGTCAATCACATTTTTCTCGCTTCAGTCCTGACAATGTGCGCTCTAAGAGATTCAAGGTTGGAAACACTACACATAATACAAGTAAATGCCACATATATGTGCTAAAGATGCTTTTATTTCATGAGAAGGCATATGATTATGTTCATAGACATTTAAAAATATATTACTCCCTCCATCCCAAAATAATGGTCCCTTTTGGGGAATCCAACTAGTTTTGGTAGTACAATTATTGCATTTGAAAAAGGTTAGTTTTTCAAAATTATCCTTTTGATAGTACATTTTTTGGGAATATCAATGTCGTAATTGTACTTTTTATATTGTTTATTAATTTAAAAGAAGGGCAAAATAGGAAATTTATATTATTTTTGTTCAGTCCTGACAATGTGCGCTCTAAGAGATTCAAGGTTGGAAACACTACACATAATACAAGTAAATGCCACATATATGTGCTAAAGATGCTTTTATTTCATGAGAAGGCATACGATTATGTTCATAGACATTTAAAAATATATTATTAGACTAGATGAAACATCAATTTTCGCAATATCTTGTATTCATTCTCCTTTGATAAAGAAGGTTTATTGATACTATTAAACTGGAAAAATCACTCTAGATAAACTGACGGTGCCAAATACTTGTTTCCAAATGCAGGAATAAGGAAACGAATGGATTTCTTAAAAGAGAAGTGAGCCCAAAAACTGGAAGCAGAGTTTTGGTCTAGTTCAACAATTTAGAATTTGATGCTTTGCATGGCCCATTTGTTGTACAATATTTATTTTTTGACTTGTCAAATATTCTTAGATTTATGGTTCAAATCCCATAATATATATATATATATATATATAATCTTAGATTTATGGTTTCTTTCTCTATTTGATTTAGTAAATTTTTTTTCTCGTCTTTTCTGGTTTGTTTTGGTCCAACATTTTGAGCATGCTACACTCTAGGCTGTGCGCAGGGTGTAGCGACCAGTGAGACATATCCTGTTTGGCTGTAGAATTGTTACATTGCAAAACTCGTTGATTAACTGGGGTGTGACCATAGGCAACAGCAATTCTGTTGTGCCGCGGTTGAAAGTTGTTCCAGAAAATGGGAGATAGCAGGAGGGGGATACAAAAGAATTAATAAATTGTTCTTGTCATACATAGTGTTTCATTTTTCAGTTGATGACATGATAGAGAGTTGTTTAAAAGTTATATTACCTTGCCGAATTGTAAGGGATGGCCTGGTGAACAAAGTGTTCCCTCTCCGAGTGTGATTGCTAAGTTTGAGTTTTATTGCTATGCAATGCAACTTTTCCTTTCCCTATTAACCTCTGCTATGGATTGTAAGAAACAAAAAACAAAAACAAAAACAAAAAGGGCAAATTACATATACACCCCTCCAGGTTTGGTTAAATTACAGATACCCCCCTGAGGTTTCGGAAATTACATCCCGCCCCCTGAGGTTTGTATTTTCATAACAATTTACCCCCTGAGGTTTATATTTCATAACAAATTACCCCCTAATTTCTTATGCAAATATAGCATTCAGGGGGGAATTCGTAATTTCTCAAACCTCAGGGGGTATCTGTAATTTTGTCAAACCTGGAGGGGTGTATATGTAATTTGCCCTTACAAAAACAAATACAGTACTTTGCAGGAGCAGATAGTGATGGTTGATAGTTGTGTTATCAAAATCTGTGGATGGAATGGAGATACATAGCTATTCGATAAGGAAATATGTTGTCTTCAAAAAAAAAAAGGAAATATGTTAGTAATTCTTTTCTCAAATTTCGTCCCCCATGGGCCAGTAGTGGTGCTTGAAGTCGTTGGAATAAATGTTTTTTTTATTATTTATTTATTGTCTTTGGTGGTTGTGAGAAGTTTTTAGGTGCCGGTATTAGCCCATAACCTGCTTGAATGTCATTCATTCGATGCTCAAAGTCGTTGGAATAAATGTTTTTTTTATTATTTATTTATTGTCTTTGGTGATTGTGAGAAGTTTTTAGGTGCCGGTATTAGCCGATAACCTGCTTGTATGTCATTCATTCAATGGTTTATTTAGCGACCCATTCTATTTTAATCGGTCAAGTGAGAGATAATGTCAAGTCTATTCATCCATAACGTACATGCCTTAGTTAATAATTTTCAGTCTATTCATCCATCACGTACATGCCTTAGTTAATAATTTTCAGTAGAGCTAGTGTTTAAATTTCAAATTGAGTAGGGCATGCAACTGATTGTTTTTTTACCCCATTGGTTGCTGGACATGGCTAGTCAGAAAGTTTTTTTATTTTTTGTGAACCAGAATCAAATATTATTATTATATAATAAACACATTAATATGTCTGGTTAAATCATATACTAGCTTAATTACATAGTGATGAATTTTAGAAATAGCCAGAAATTGAAAAGATCTACTAGGTTAGTAAGAAAGTTGTTTCACCAAGATGCTATAAATTTTAAAAATTTATATCTTGTTAGACGCTCTTATACCCATTCCGAAATTGGTATCTTTTTTTTCGTTTTTGGTGTCGTGGACGGCATTATTAGTCACTAAAATCATCTCTAATGATTTATTAAATTTATCACCAAATTTGAATTTGGTGAAAAATGACACTGTTTTTGTCTCCAATAATTTCATCAAAAAGATATCAAATTAAAATTCATCAAATTTTTCACAAAACTGAGAATGTGTTGGGTCTTTTACCAAAACATTATTCATCACCATTGTATTTTCACTATCGGATGATCCATCAAATGACCAATTTTTGTAAAATTTTGTACAGATTTTATACTGGGAGGTTGACCTCTCGATCGACTCCCCGGATAACCCTCAAGCTTAAATAGATTTTGCTCTTTTCGATCGACCGGCTGATCGTCCTCCCAAACGTCTAGTGCATTTTGATGAAAGTTACAGTACACCATTAGAGTGACTGATATCAAGTTGAGCCAAACGTCTTTTTTTTATTCAAATTTAATAAAAAATTTCTTCAACCATTATGATGCTCCAACACATTGCTATCTAGTTAATCTAGATAAACTGACGGTGCCAAATACTTGTTTCCAAATGCAGGAATAAGGAAGCGAATGGATTTCTTAAAAGAGAAGTGAGCCCAAAAACTAGAAGTGGAGTTTTGGTGTAGTTCAACAATCTAGAATTTGAAGCTTTGCATGGTCCCATTTGTTGTACAATATTTATTTTTTGACTTGTCAAATATTTTGAGATTTATGGTTCAAATCCCATAAACTATATAAAGAAAAATCTCAAATTTATGGTTTCTTTCTCTATTTGATTTAGTAAATTTTTTTTCTTCTTGTTGTCTTTTTTGGTTTGTTTTGGTCCAACATTTTGAACATACTACACTCTAGGCTGTGCGTAGAGTGTAGCGACTAGTGAGACATATCCTGTTTGGCTGTAGAATTGTTACATTGCAAAACTCGTTGATTAACTGGGGTGTGACCATAGGCAACAGCAATTCTGTTGTGCCGCAGTTGAAAGTTGTTCCAGAAAATGGGAGATAGCAGGAGGGGGATACAAAAGAATTAATAAATTGTTCTTGTCATAGGTAGTGTTTCATTTTTTAGTTGATGACATGATAGAGAGTTGTTTAAAAGTTATATTACCTTGCCGAATTGTAAGGGATGGCCTGGTGAACAAAGTGTTCCCTCTCCGAGTGTGATTGCTAAGTTTGAGTTTTATTGCTATGCAATGCAACTTTTCCTTTCCCTATTAACCTCTGCTATGGATTGTAAGAAACAAAAAACAAAAACAAATACAGTACTTTGCAGGAGCAGATAGTGATGGTTGATAGTTGTGTTATCAAAATCTGTGGATGGAATGGAGATACATAGCTATTCGATAAGGAAATATGTTGTCTTCAAAAAAGATAAGGAAATATGTTAGTAATTCTTTTCTCAAATTTCGTACCCAATGGGCCAGTAGTGGTGCTTAAAGTCGTTGGAGTAAATGTTTTTTTTATTATTTATTTATTGTCTTTGGTGGTTGTGAGAAGTTTTTAGGTGCCGGTATTAGCCGATAACCTGCTTGAATGTCATTCATTCAATGGTTTATTTAGCGATCCATTCTATTTTAATGGGTCAAGTGAGAGATAATGTCAAGTCTATTCACCCATCACGTACATGCCTTAGTTAATAATTTTCAGTCTATTCATCCATCACGTACATGCCTTAGTTAATAATTTTCAGTAGAGCTAGTGTTTAAATTTCAAATTATTGAGTAGGGCATGCAACTGATTGTCTTTTTACCCCATTGGTTGCTGGATATGGCTGGCCAGAAAGTTTTTTTATTTTTTGAGAACCAGAATCAAATATTATTATTATATAATAAACACATTAATATGCCTGGTTACATCATATACTAGCTTAATTACAGAGTGATGTATTTTAGAAATAGCGAGAAATTGAAAAGATCTACTAGGTTAGTAAGAAAGTTGTTTCACCAAGATGCTAGAAATTTTAAAAATCTGTATCTTGTTAGAAGCTCTTATACCCATTCCGAAATTGGTATCTTTTTTTTTCATTTTTGGTGTGGTTGACAGCATTATTAGTCACTAAAATCATCTCTAATGGTTTATTAAATTTATCATCAAATTTGAATTTGGTGAAAAGTGACAGTGTTTTTGTCTTCAACAATTTCATCAAAAATATATCAAATTGAAAATTCACCAAATTTTTTACCAAACTGAGAATGTGCTGGGTCTTTCACCAAAACACTATTCATCACCATTGTATTTTCACTATCGGATGATCCACCAAATGACCAATTTTCGTAAAATTTTGTACAGATTTTACACTGGGAGGTTGACCTCTCGATCAACCCCCCGAATGACCCTCAAGCTTGAATAGATTTTGCTTTTTTCGATCGATCGACTGATCGTCTCCTCGAACGTCTAGTACGTTTTGATAAAAATTATAGTATACCATTAAAGTGATTGATATCAGGTTGAGCGTCTTTTTTTTATTTAAATTTAATAAAAAATTTGTTCAACCAGTATAGATGCTCTAACGCATTGCTATCTAGTTAAATATCATATTTGACCAACTAATGCTTCTCACACTTGCAAAATCCCCAAAAATCAGGAAACTCTGTTTTTGTCAGGCACATGTCTTCTGCACATTGAAAGATTCTGACGTATATTACTTTAACAAATTGAGAGGCTATTTAATGTTACGGCAGTGATAGGTAGCTCGAAACCGAGCGGCTCGAAATGGCTCGAATTCAAAAACGGCCTCGTTTTTTAGATGAAGGTGAAGCAGAATCAGAAGCAGGGGAGGAAGGAGGAGGAGGAGGAGAAGAGGAGGAGGAGGAGGAGGGGATGAAAGCAGAACCAGAAGCAGGGGAGGGAGGAGGAGGAGGGGAGGAGGAAGGAGGAGGGACTGGAGGGGGAGGAGGAGGAGGGACTGGAGGGGGCCCAACATTTGGGGCCAGAAGCGGGGCCCGGGGGGCGGAGGCGAGGCAGAGCCGGCGATCGCTGGTGCTGCGACGATCGGCGGCAGCGAGGCGACGGCGGTGGCGGTGGCGGTGGCGAGGCGAGCAGCGACGATCCTCTCTCCCTCTCTCTCTTCTGGTCTTCCTCCTCTCTTCTTCCTCTCTTCTCTCCCTCTTTTTCCTCTGCTTCTTCCTCCTCTCTTCTCTCCCTCTTTCAAGCCAATTCGAGCCATTGGATTCGAGCTACGGCTCATTTCCGTTAATGTTAATAATAACTAAATGATCAGGTGATTTATGGACCACACCAGAGCATGGAGAAAATATTTTATGCGACCGGAATGTTATGCGATCGAGTTGACAAATAATGAGTGCAAAAATATATTATGTTAGGTTGATTAGGAGATTTTTTTATTACATAAAATATTTTTTTATTAATATATTATATGACACTAATTACATCATTTAACGTGTTACACAAGATATTAGTATTAGTGTTCTTACTTCTTTAAATGAAAAGAACTTAGCAAATGATGTGATTAGTGCTATATATGATGGTAAATAATGTTTAAATGTGGTGCCCAAATATAATCACCTTAGCTAATATTTGAGTTACTATTGCTGGGTTGTGGTAGTATCTGTACCACATTTTATTTTTCTATTGTTGTGACCTATTAATTATGGTCAAGTTCGATCATAAACTATTTTTAAAAGATAACCTTGACCACACTTGTTTTCATTATTATTATTTCTGTCGACATGCATGCTAACAAGGCATGATAGATGTGTTAAAGATGTGACATGATGACATGTTAAATGGAGGGCTAGCAAATTAGCAACTAATCAATTTGAAAGTTTGTTGTTGAGATCAAGGAGCCAAAATCAAATCAATTACCAAATTTGCAAAATGGTTTCTATCAAAGATGGGATAGGTATGATGTTAAGAAAATCATGGCTTGTTGAGGAAATTGTGAGCTTAGGTTTTCTCTTTCTCTCATGTGGCTGAGTCTATAAATAGGCTAAGAGAGATACAAAGAGGGACCAATCAATCAATCAACCATCAAACACACTTGTGCAAAGCTATTTAGGAGTAGATTAAACAAGTAGTTTTTCCAACCCCTCATTTCTCTTTTTTCTGTCAATTACTGTATTTATTTAATTTTTTGTTCTTGTTTAAGTTCTTGTAACTAGTGACAAGTGACAATTTATTCGAATTAATACATATTATGTTTTGTTTCATTTCTTCTTTATTTAATTACCTCCAGTGAAGTCCTTAATCTGTTTAAGACATAGAATTCAATCACAAAGTATGATCATTTTTGTGTTTATTTAAAATCAGTTGAAGCTTGTCTATCAATGACTGTCAATCGGGCCTAAACTGAATTTTTGCTAACATAAATTGACATGCCCAATAGGACCATTCTAACTTGGAGTGATGATGATGAAGAAGCAGACTTATTCTTATGGAATCATGCCTTCAACAGGTATGTTTACATCTTGTGCATCCATGGATACAAACCTCCAATGGAGTGATAGTGTTCCTATGGATACAAATTATCAGTGGAATGTCTCATATTCTAAAAATTGTCAGTATTATGGTGGTGGTTCTACCGCTTATTGTCAAAATAATAGCATGACAAATGATGTGAAAAGAATGATTTGGCGTTGTGATGATGAAATTTATTGGTGCGAGAGTGAAATTTTAGCCCTAAAAGAATAAATTAATTCTCTTTATAGGCAAAAATTTCAAATAATTTCATCATTTCCGTATTGTTTGATGCAAAGAGATTTAAATTACTATGATGAAAAATCTCATCGACTTAAAGGCCAAAATTTTCTAATTGTTGAAGAAATTCTATATTGGAAACAAAAATTAGAAGGCATAATGGCCAATAAAAAATTAAGACATGAAAATAATGTGATTCATGCGGTTAATACACATATTTTTGAAGAGCCAATCATTTATAAAGAGCCAAGATATGTGGCTTGAAGGGTAAGCATACCAAGTCATGAAGATAATATGACTTTGGAGAATTTTCATAGGCCATTAATGGTTAAAATTTAAAAACAACCCCTTCTCTCAAAGAATATTGAGAATTCTGATGATAAAGATTCACTTAGGGGGCATGGTGTTTAGCCAAACGTGGCAAAAAATGACAAGCCATTAATGGTTTAAAAAAGAAGAACAACCACTTCTCTCAAAAAATATTAAAAAATAATCACAAAATGATGGTAAAAATTCGCTTGAGGGGCATGATTTTAAGCCAAAGGTTGAAGATTATGAACTTGGGGGACATAATTTTAAGCCAAAGATGGCTAAAAATTATGAATCCACATTTATTGAATGTGAATTTTTTGATATTATTCAAAGTGTCAAAATTTATGAATTTTTCATAACATTCAATTATGTGAGTTTTGAGATATATCATCCACTTTGGATTTGTGGATCACACCATGAAAATCCACCAAAAATTAATTTTCATGACATGGTTTGAAAAACAACAGTGGTTGAAAAGTGCTATATGTAGTGAATTCTCTTTAATTAGCCAAAATGTGGTTAACAGAGAATTGTTTTATTTTGAAAATAAGGGATGTGACTCTTTGTTATGTCACTTGATAGAGCCAAAGATGGAGTGCGAGCCAATCGACAGTGATAGATTAAAAATTACTACGGGTGTAATATAACTCTTCAAGAATTTAAATTATTTGCACCACAAAATATATTCTGTCGATTGTGGTAAACCATCTTATAAGTCATTTAATTGGATTTCATTCTTCAATCCATTTCAATGAGGGGAGCATTGTTTGCACCACATTTTATTTTTCTGTCGATTGTGACCTATTAATTATGGCCAAGTTCAATTATGATCTGTCGATTGTAATCATAAACTATTTTTTAAAAAATAATCTTGATCACATTTATTTTATTATTATTATTTGTGTTGACATGCATGCTAATGTGACATGATAGATGTGTTAACGACGTGACATGATGACATGTTAAATAGAGGGTCAAAAAGTAAGCAATTGATCAATTTGAAAGTTAGTTGCTGAAATCAATGAGTTAAGATCAAATTAAGTACCAAATCTGCAAAATGGTTCCCATCAAAGATGAGATATGTATCACATTGAGGAAATCATGAGCTTGTTGAGGAAATTGTGGGCTTAGTTTATCTCTTTCTCTCATGTGGTTAAGCTTATAAATAGGCCAAGAGAGATACAAGGATGGATCAATTAACCATCAAACAAACTCGTGCAGAGTTATTTAGAAGTAGTTCTAGGAGTAGATTAAATAAGTAGCTTTTCCAACCCCCAATTTCTCTTCTTTCTGTTGATTGTTGTATTTATTCAATTTTTTGTTCTTGTTTAAGTTCTCATAACTAGTGACAAGTGACAATTTATTCGAATTAATACATATTCTGTTCTGTTTTATTTCTTCTTTATTTAATTATCTCTAAGAAGTCCTTAATCTGTTTAATAGAACTCAACTACAAAGTCTAATAATTTTTGTATTTATTTAAAATCAATTGAAACCTATCGTTCAATTACTGTCGATCGGGCTTAAATCAAATTGTTGCTAACGGGTAGAAAAGAGTTTCGAAAAAAAGAGAGAGAGAGCGAAAAAAGTTTAAAATAATACCCTTTTCAACTTAAACCCCCCTCCCCAAATAAATAAATAAATAAAAGTATTTGGGACAGGCTTTGGCCATTTTATCGTTGACCTGGTTTCCTATTGTTAATCACTGGAAGATCAAAGTAATTCAACTGCCATTACAAAAACACCAATACAATTGAAAGCTGAAATTTGAGATGAACTGCTTTTCTATCCTAATTCAGCCCCATGTTATTTACATATTGATGAACAGAAGCAATCACCCAAAAAAAAAGAAGAAAAAAAGAACTATTCTCTTTCTTCAATGACCGCGGTTGTTGTCGAGGCTGACATGTTCATGGCTCCAGTTTAAGGTTTTAAATATCAACTGACACATATCATAATTTTGAATTTTGGATATCGATATTCAGTGATACCCCTGCCATTTAAAATCATGCTCTGGCTGGTGATATTAACAAATTTAGGAGATGACAATCCATCACTTAAACACTTCTAGGAAAAGATAATGAATAACTGATCATTTTCTTGTCACTTACCCTTCTTGCATACTCTTTCCTCTTCATTGGCCTTTTGGCATTTGATGAACCCTCTCCCTTGATGTTAGGAACAAAGTACAATCCAAGAGACGTGCACAATATAGCAAATGATTTCCCAAACACTGCCAACAACAACAAAATCAAGATCACAATCGCCATCAAGTAATCATAAGGCCTCCACAAATCCAAGACCTTCATGTTCTCTGAATCTCTCTTCTTCATCTTCTTCTTCTCAGTCTTTCGATCATCACCCAATGATTCGTTTCGCGGTTGTTGGACTTCATTCGGGGAGATTGAGGAGGCCTTTGAATTATGTGTCATAGACTCATCCTTTTTGCTGTCAACAACAACTATTCTATTGATTTTCTCTTGCTTTTTGCCTCTGTGCTTCACCACAATCGGCTTGCAATCATTGGAGTTTGAGTACTCAAAGCGAACGAAAGAGATGTCCTCTGAGCCCATTTGGGTGAAGAGCCTCTGCCTCTTGTCTTCAAGCTCAGCCACAAGAGCAGAAAACTTGTCGAGCCCGCGATTGGCATACGGATTTTTGTCATCTCTGCTTCTGTTACATTTGCATAACCTGCTCTTTCTTGATTTTCTTGGTGTTGAACACGGACTACAAGGCTCATCATCTTCATCTTCTTGATGATTATGGAAGTTGCCACTGCCACAAATGAATGGATTGACCATTGTGAGAATTGGACTTTGATGCACAATGGTTTGGTTTGATTGAAATTGATCAGAATCACTAGCACTGCTTATTTGAGGGTTTGGAAGACTAGACCTGATAAAGCAAGATTAGTCAAATCATAGATTTGAAAAAACAAATTCCATAGAAGCTTCCATGTGGATTTGACTTCTTGGATGCAGTGGGGATTAACATGTAACACATTGAATATGTCCCATTTTTCTTTTCTTTTTTTTTTTTTAAATTAAAAGAAATTAAATAAATTGGTAGAGGGTAGGCGAATTGGTCCTATCTCCACCACTCATCTATCTATATCTATTATATAAGGAAAATAGTTTTTTTAAGCCACAAATCTTGTGGGAGCTCCTTATTCCAATTTTAATTTCTTAATTTTTAATTAAAAAAAAAAAAAACTTTCCTGCCCTCTAATTTAAATAATATATAGATATTAACCTAAATCTTATCATCCTTGTCACAGTAGCCTAAACTTTGGGAGAAAGAGAATAATCTAAACCTAACGCAGCAACCTAAACCTTTGGGAGAGAGAGAATAACATAAACCTAACGCAGCAGCCTAAACCTAAACCTTTCATAGCAGCCTAATCCTTACGTAGCGACAACAACCTACGCAGCAGTTTGGGAGAGAGACTAAGACAGAATCTTGGAAGAAAAACATTTCCAAATCTGTAAGTAAATCATTTATTTTTTAATATGATAATTATATGTTTAAATTGATTAAGAATGATTGCATTCATTCTTAACTATTTTTAATAGGTTCATATAAAGTATTAGCTATTGATGATTAAGAATGATTGCATTCATTAGGTTCACATAAAGTATTAACCGTGTGAGTAAATGTGTGTAATAACCCTCACCACTGATTACCGATAAACATTGATTACCGTTGAACTGAACTGATTATGACTGATAATTGAACTGATTAAAGTACTGAACTGACTGACTGAAAACTGGAACTGAATTGACTGAGTATGTGTGTTAATCTGTATTCTATCTGTTAGATTGATTACTTGATCTGTTCACGTTTTATGTTTAAACTGCTAATTGGAGGCCTTATCGGCGGCCGAACCGGGAATTGATTGATGTTTTATGATCATTGTAATTTATGTGATTTTATGGTATAGTTATTCGAAAATTGATCTGGTGTGATTAAATTAGATTAAAATGAGCCAATTAAAGAGTTAGGCTTAATTACTAAATTGCCATCCTAGTAGGTCACTTGCTTAATACTTTGAGGACTCATTCTTATGCATTACAAAACATTTACTCAGCTCATTCCTTGCCTTTGCCGACCAGAGAGAGAGAGAGATAAGGGAGAGAGTTAGATTTCATCTCACTTTGCTTGGTTTTGCTTGGAAATTTAAGAGGATTGAAGCATAGATTGCATATTTGAGCTCCTAGTCTCCTAATTCAAGACTTAGGTAAGGATTTCATCTTCTCATTCTTGTGTTTGAGCTAATTCTTGCATGGTTCATGATTAATTGTAGAGCTAAGTCATGTTTTAGTTCATACATGGTGAATTGAAGCTCGTTTCATGCATGCATGTTTGAATTGTTGAGTTGCGAGTTGATTTCATGGTAAAATGGTACATGCATGTCCATAACCTTGTAATGGTCCATGTTTTCAACTTGTTTTTGGATCAATCGGCTCCTTTAGAGCATCAAATTGAACTTTGAAGTTGTTTAAAATTCATGCATGTTTGCATGTTCATATTGTTCTTGATATTGATTTGACATTGAGTTTGAATTAAACACCCTTGGGCTTTGATTTCTCAAATTGAGCTTTGAACCATGTTATTCTATGTGTTTATAAAGGTTTTCCAGAAAAATGGGCCCAAGAGGATTGGTTTTGATGCATTTGAACCTGGTTTTGGCTTGGAGGTGCAATCTGAAATTCTCAGATTTTGCACTTCCGCTCGAGCGGGGATATTGGCGCTCGAGCGTGGAATCCGAGCATCCAGCATTTTCTCTGCACTGTTTTACAGTCCGCTCGAGCGGAGGATTGGGCGCTCAAACGGAGTCGTGTGTCTCAAGCTCGAGCAGGCGTCGAGCGGAGATTTCACCCATCCAGTACTTTTACAGTACGCTCGAGCGGGAGAGTTGACGCTCGAGCGTGTACCTTTGTTGCATGTCCGCTCAAGCGGGTAAACCTGCGCTCGAGCGGGACTCTGTTTTTTTGAAACTTCTGAAACTGTTTTCTGATCACATCTTTGCATCCTCATCTCATCCTAGGCATTCTTAGGCCTAGTTTAAGACATCTTACTGAGGATATAGATGTAGAACACACCGAGGCAAATTAGGGATTAAGTTATTATCTTTCCCAGCTGTGTAGCTTAGTGTGTTCAATCTGTTAACTGTGTAGGGTTGGCGACTGGGGAGACACGCTTTAGCATACTGTAGCCCAGAACTCTGTGAGTAACGATTGTGTAAAGATATGTTCACAAATGATTATCTTCTGAACAACTGAACTGTACTGTTTTCTGAACTGAGTTATTGTTAACTGAATGAATGTATGTCCTATATTCTGAATTGTATTGTGGCATCCTTAGCACCTACTGTTTACTGTTACTGTGACAGAATTCTCTGTCGGTTCCCTTGTTGGAACCACCACTGTTTATTGACTGATGGCCATCATTACTGTTCGGTCTTTTAAGGCCTACTGCTTACTGTACTGTTATGCTAATGGGTGTACCACATATGACTGTACTGACTGAACAACTAAAATACTGTTTAATTGAACTGTTTTCATACTGTAAGGACATTCATTCTTAACCTCTTTACGCATTATGTTATTCATTGGGCTTTAGTTCACTGCTCATATATATATGTAGGTGTTCAGGCACCAGACCGCGGCTAGGAGCGTCAGGGTTACTCCAGTTTTGTCAAGCCAGCCTATGTGCCTCACTGCGAGGTTCCGAGCCTATCCTGTTAAGGCTTAGGGGTGTTTTACAACTCCCCTTCTGTACTGTCTTACTGTTTTGTATCGACCGAATGTTTACTGTACTGTTATGCAGGGATTGAGTCCCTAGTCTGAATGATTGTAAATAGTGTGTATACTGTTCTGTACTGTTTATGTATAAATGTATGAGAAGTCTTTTTGCATACAGTTTGTCACAGCTCATTGGGCATTGTTTATTTACTATTTTGGCTTCCGCCAGGCCCTGTACTCTGTATTACTGTATTACTGTTCTGCAGGTCTTCGGTAATCTCGGATTACTGGCCGGTTACGGTGCTAAACCCATAGGGCTGGGTTTGGGTCGTGACAGTGAATTTCCGATCACACTGCCAACTTAGTTATTCAGCTGGAGAGTACTGGCAGAATAGATGACACCTAGTTGACCTGCAACAGAAAGAGAAGATTCCGGCGGTGGTTCGTCCACCCGGGGGCACTCCGACGATCAAGTCAGTATATCTCTCAAAGATAATCAATAGTGCTAAACTCACTGTTCAGAATGTAAATTGCGTACCTTAGACCTATCGGGGGTGCCTCTCTTTTATAGTTAACTCAATCCTACTCCTACTAGAAGCCTAGCTTCAATGGACTCTTATACAGTGCTTATTCTGGACTCTTCAAGAGATAAAGATAAACTCCCTAAGAGTGTTATCCTTATCCATGCTAAAGTCTTTCATCATTCTAGGACTCTTGTCCCTTATGCGCTTATCTCGGATTCCGATATCTTCGGAGATAACCTCGGCCTAGCCGAGATCAGTTCGGCGTCATAACCAGGACACATGGCACTTCGGCTGACACGTCGGCGTCACCTTGGCCATGTGTTCGTACTCAGAAAATATATCCCCACAACTGGCCCTAGGTTCTATTACCTCGGCAACCTGAGGTAATATATCGGTACTTCCTGCCAGTACATCGGTTTCAGCCGAGCTCATCATTATAGGCCGACATGTCTTCTTAAAGATCAAGAATTCCAAGAGCTTCTTTATGCGCATGAGCTGTCATGCATCACAAGTCAACCATTTCAGCCACGTGTCATTCTCTTACTAGATCGTACGTGGTACGTGCCTCTAAACCGTCTTGTGTATGCGTGCGCCGTCTGACGCACACGTTGTTTTAGGCACATTAATTCTATTTTTGCCGCCATTTCAAGTTTTCACAAAACTTTCCCTCTCTCTTGGTCTTCTCACTTTTGTATCCTCAAGCTCTCAACTCTCTCTAGCTTCTGAATACGCCATTGTTCAAGCTTCTAAAGTTCTGCAACTTGCTCCGTTTACCACTTCTGACGAGATTTTCATCGATCCTACGTCTTCACTACCGTTGTCAGACTTCGGCAATCCCCATTCCGGCTTCCATTTTCCTGGTAAGTCGCTGTTCTTTCTTGTTTTATTTCTTGTTGCTCTTTAAGAAGTTTTACTTCATTATTTGGTCGCCATTGCTGTTTTACTAAGTTTTTGATTTATGAATCTTGTACCTGAGCGTATTTATTTCTCAACCTTGCTCTTTGCCCATGTCTTGAATACACGCATTGTTCACAACTTTTTGCACCTTTGCCACTGTTCTTGATTTCATACCCTTTGTACTTGCGATGTTCTTGATAGTCCATCTTTGTTCTTGAATCTGAATCGTATTCTTGTTTCTGGTTGCCGTGTTTTTTTAGATTCTCGTCTTCACTCCTTGCTTCCATAGATCTAGGTTTGGGATTTGTCTGTAGAACCCAGGAATTTTTAGGAAAAACTGAAACGATTCCCACAAATACTTACCCAGCAAATTTTTAGGTTTTCGTCGAGATCCTAAAAGCTTCATTTTCTGAAGTCCAGCTCTTTTAATTTAGGCCGATATCATGGGTATGTGGAAACATAGGGTAGATACCCCGAGCAAATTAGATCACTTTAGGCGTGAGTTTGACATCCCTGCCGACGTCCATCTGAGGTTGGCTGGGGATGAAGACTCTATCATGCCCACAGTTGATTCCATGCCCCTTCCTGTTGTAGCTTTCATTGAGTGCGGACTTCGGCTCCTACTTAATATCCTTTTTCGCGAGGTTATCCATCATTACAAGTTGAACCCAATGCAGCTTGCCATCAACTCCTACCGAGTTATTAATGGCATCATAGCCTTAGCCAAACAAGAAAATGTTATGGTCACTTTAGTCGATATCCAGTTTTGCTATACCATGTATGGCCTCAAAAAAGATACGGGCTACGTTTACTACCTCAAG